AGCTGGGTCAAAACAACCCGATAGCTGGGTCAAAACAACCCGACATGCTCTTCATTGACACTGTTGGAAATCAATAGGCCTTTATATTTATAATTTCATAGTTTAAAATTAACTTTAATTTGTAATTTAACCTTTTATTTTATTTTGTCGGCTAACAGTACATTTAAAATACAAAGTATTAGGTTTAGTATGCTGAAATTGACAGTGTTATTTTAGTATCACTTGACTTCAAGTTTTAGTAATTTCATTGTGTGTTTTCTCAGTTTATTAGTTTTTTTATATGTTTTAAGTTTTAGTTATATAAGATTTATTTAAGTATAAATCAGAAATGTTGCTGAAAAAGGTTTATTTTTATGTTTTATTTCAGTTCATGTTTATTTTATTTGAAGTAATGAAAAAGGTTTTTGGTTTTATTTTTTACTGATATATGAACAAACTAAAATATGCAGACTGCCATGTCATAATGCCTGCAACGTTGTATTTTTACAGCAAATTTCTGGCAAACCCCAGATTTTTTTGTACCTTATTAATTTAATTGAACAGGATATGTATTTGTACAGACACATGAAGGTAAGTGGAGCAGTTCATTAATTCCCTGTATTTCCTGTCTGAGTCTGATTGTTGATCATATCATGCTGTCCAGTGTTCAGACTGATGTCATTCTAACCCCTCCCTCCCTCGTTTACTTCCATACAGGATACAAAAACCCTCATGAGCCGAACCAGTCAACCAGAGGCCACCAACTGTCTGAGGAGGAAGGTCAGCAAACACCAGGACAAGACTGCAAAAAAAAGAAAAGTCCAAGAAATTAAGACCATTTTGATGAATTTCACTTCAGACTGAGGGTAAGCATATTTTACAGTTCTAAATATTGTCATGCACCATTCAAAATAATATGCCTTTACTATGACTTGAATGCTTTTATTGTGCAATGAACTGATGAATAAACTAAGTTTTGTATAATGAACAGCTTTGCTCCATAAATCTGTTATTCGAACACATCTGCTATACATATTTATGCATTAAAGTTGCAGGGTCTTGTAAATCCTTGGTCGTAACACCAGCTTTGGACTCACGCCGATCACAGACAGCTGCATCCTAATATTCACAGATATGACTGCATGCATCTTCTTACGGGGAGCAAAAATTGTAAGTATACTGAATTTCTACAGTTACAGTCATTAGACGATATTTCAGAGTTGTTTTCTTATAGTTTTTGCTATTTTAACATTGTCCTATTTTATGAACACAAGACAAAGTATTTGTTTATAGAAAATAGTTTGTAAACCATTTTTAAATACAAAAATAGACTTTTAAATACAAATAGAATTATTAGTTTTTATTATGTTTTGTATTTTTTTTATTCCGTTTTATTTTAAGCCTACATTTCAGAAAACACTTTTTTAAATTATTATTATTATAGTTTATTCGTTTTTTTATTTGTTTAGTTTTATTATGAAACAAATGCCTAATAAAGAAAAAACAGAAATAATGTGCAATTAGACAATTGTTATTAATGGATTTGTGTTGTATTGCTTTATAACATTGTCCCATTTTATGAAGAGTCAAGACATATTATATATATTTTAAATATTTGTTTAAAAAAATAAAATTCATTTTTATTAGTTTTATTACGTTTCTTATGTTTTTTTTATTTGTTTAGTTTCATAATAAAACAAAAGTCTAAATTGTCAAATGTAAAAAATTGTCATTAATGGATCTGTGTTGTTTTACTTAATAACGTTATTCAATTTTATAAGTTTTAAATAAAAAAAATATTGTATTGTTTTATAAATTTTTATTAGTTTAGTTTTACAATTAAAAAAAAATTCTAAATATGAGAAAATGGAAATGTGGTGCAATTAGAATTTAAAATACAGTATTATTTATTTGTTTCTTTTAATTTTTTATTAGCTTTTATGTTTCTCTGTTTTTTATTATTATTATTAGTTTAGTTTTATTATGAATCAAATGTCTAAATAGGAAGAAAACCAGAAATGCTGTCATTAATGGATTTGCGTTGAATTACTTTATTGTCCATGTTTGGCCTGATTCAGCAGACACGTAATCGTATTCAGCTCCACTAAATCACACTAAACCCTTAGTCACATTCAGCCCACAAACCCTCTAATTCATATGAAAATGGGAGGAACGTGCCATTGAGCACTGTCTGCTTAATGGGATAGATTACAATGCACTGCTTTAAAAGCATTCTTGCCATTATCAAAATGAGTAAAACAGGCCTTTTAGATTAATCTAAAAAAACCCTAAACGGACACAGAGACAACCAGGCAACGTGAAACATGTTTGAGAGGCTTAACCTGTCATTTTGGTTTTGCAGGACAGAGAATTGGCAGATGATGAAATTGAAGGTAAACACACCTGTCAGCTGTGATATCTGGATATGATCTCTACTAATGTCAAAGCTTAGACTGAAGTATGCAACACTTTAGAGATATTACTCATATTTCTTTAAATAATGTCATTTTATTTAGAAAAACTTTATTATTAAACATTAGCCACGTTCAGTATTTCAGTAAGAACTGTGTGACAACAAATATTAGCAGATTTTATTGATTTATTTATGAATTTATTTATTTTACAGACCTATTCCAATGCTTCTGGATTATTTCATTAAGAGCAACTGTATGACAATAAATATTTGTTGACAATCGCAGAAATGTTTTACATTTTATTTATTTATTTATTTTAGAAACAAATGCTTTGGGACTATTGCAATAGAAACTGTACGACAATAAATATTGGAGAAAACATTTTTCCAAAAAAATTGTTTTTTGCATAATAATAATAATTATTATTAAGAACTGTATGGAGATAATTATTGGTAGACATTGCAGGGATCTTATTTATTTAAATAAATCATTCCAATTAACATTTCATGGCATTATGTTTATTATTGGAATGTAAAAAGTGCTTATATTTACCTTGATGAATGTTTCTTTGTTCTCAGAGCTGAGAGAGGCATTTAATGAATTTGATAAAGATAAAGATGGTCTAATTAGCTGTAAGGACCTGGGAAACCTGATGAGGACGATGGGTTATATGCCAACCGAGATGGAACTGATCGAGCTGGGCCAGAACATCAACATGAATTGTAAGTGGCTTTTAGAAAAATGAGAAACTGTCTTACTCAGAGTACTTGATTGGCATGATTGTTTTGCATAAAGTAAAAGAAAATAAAGGGGGGGGTGTATCTAATTATGATCTATTTTTGCTATTTCTTTGTCTCTCAGTGGGAGGGAGGGTCGACTTTGAAGACTTTGTGGAGTTAATGGCCCCAAAGCTTTTGGCTGAAACAGCAGGCATGATTGGTGTGAAGGAACTGCGAGATGCTTTCAAAGAGGTGAGAACGTGTTGATCCACAATGACACACAGTTAAGATTACTTGCCATTTAGTGGATTTGCCCAAACAGATAGTGGAGAAACTCTCACCTGGCTTCAGTCAACTCCATTTGACCTGTTACCACAACATTATGGGGTGGAGGGGAGGGTGAAGCCCTTGCAGTTAATGAACTGAATTTGCTGTGGATGAAAAGCAGCTCAGTGATTCTCTGTTGGTGGGTTGCGACCCAAGGGTGCAGGTCACAAGCAGCATGGAAAAACAATGCTAAATGCAAATGCCGCTGAGAACCAGTGAGCTAAATAATAAGCAACAGACATCGAATTTGCCATATTTTCATCACAAAATCTTTTTTTCCCTCATCTACAGTTTGATATGGACGGCGATGGCTCGATCACTACCGAGGAGCTGAGGTCCGCTATGAGTAAACTACTGGGAGAACACATGAACCACAGAGAGATTGACGCTGTCGTCCAAGAGGCGGACAATAACGGTGATGGTACGGTAGATTTCGAAGGTGAGAAATGACACTCATTTTCAATGCATGACAAATAAAGCATATAGATACTCACACTTCCTACACATAAGTGTGAAATGCTTTTCTGTTTTTTTTTTCTTCCTTCTTGCAGAATTTGTGAAGATGTTGTCAAGCTGCTGAGAAAATCCTCTTGCTGGATGCTGCAGATACAGAAAACATATACGACTGCACTCACAACAGCATTATGCATATCCATAAATATAATAGCAATGTACAGAAAGATTTCTTCCCCCCGCAAGCTATGCAAAAATCTCAGGCTTTCAATGCAATACAGAGTTACTGATCTGAGAATTGGAAGTGCAATAAAAATTATAAACGCAAGTCTAATATTATAATGCTTATGTATTTACATTTATAATAGATATTTGCTCAATAAAATACTAAATTAGGATATAAAAGATATGGAGTGATGTTTTTTTCTTTGTGTTTGTGAATGTGAAAGGCCTGGTTCCAGAATCAACCACTGAGTGTTTTTCTGAAATTATTAAGGGCGCTTTTTTATACCTTTTTTAACATTTTTGTCTCGGTGCTCTGTCATTTCATCCTAGCCGTCAGATCGTCCTACAAGGGCTAATACCTCATTTTTGTCACGCTGAACAACACATACTGTATTTGCATTTCTGTAAGGATAGGTGTAGACATTAATATCTGATAGGTAGCATTTTTATTGATGAATTGTGTTCTGTACTGTTTTAGTGTGAGGTAGCAAAATCGTCAGAACACTGTCTATTGCTCTATTGCCAATCATTTCAATTTCTAGAAATAATCCTGCATTTATCTCACAAAGTTTCGTTATAATCATGTCTACAGTGTATAATGAATCTCTTATTTACATCGTGTTTACACTTTGTTTGTTATAATAAGAAGATTCACGAGCTTGAAGAACAAAAACTTCAGTGTTTTCAGCAGTGAGTGAATTCTTACTAACGTAAAGGCCTCTGATTGGCTAATGCGTTCAAGAAATCAACAGATGTGTCTGTGATTGGCTACTTCACTCAACGCTGAAAAAAAAACACGTTTGAAAAACCTTTGATGTACTCAGGAGCACAGACACAAACTTTTGCCAAGTCTATTTCGCTAATATCCTATTATTACAGCTTTAACTGAGGGTGCTTAGCAGAAACCGGCCTTTAATGTATTGTAAGTACACAAAAATCATGTTTCAAAGTTGAAGAGTTATTGAGTCAAACGTCATAGTAATTTTAACATTTCTGTGGTCATGCTGATCTGGGTTCAGTCTTCTAATCTTTATGACTGAGACCTTCTGATTAACTGACCCCTAACTGACGGTCCGCTGTCGTCAGACTCGACAACATCATTTTTATGAATTATGCTAGATCCTGCAGATTTCCAGTAACTAAATATCTCCATTAATCTGTTGATTCTCAGAAAAAATAAATACATCTGAAACAGGCCATGCAATCTATGTACTAGGCCGCTGCAGAGAGCAGATGGTGAAGACGAGAAATCACTTTTAAGGGAAACTTTCTTTAGAAGATTAAGGGGATAATGGAAGGATGATGGACTGAGAGGCACTGAAAGATTTTGGACCGTGACAGAGCAAATTGATACCCTAAAAAAATGAAACACACGAGACACGAGTTTGAAATGGTATAAA